TTTTTTAACTTTTTTTTTTAGTACAATGCTTTTTTTTTTCGATCGTTACTTTTTTATTGCATTGCTTCCGGTTAATTTTTATTGCTTTAATTTTTTTTAGCGCGCTTTTTATTTCCGGCGTTTGGTTGCACCTTCTTTTTTTTCGTTTCCGGCCATTTTTAATTTTACTTTTAATTTTAATCGGTTGCAATGCTAATTAACGGTTTTCCTTAAAAAAAAAGCACGGCCAAAGCTAATTTTGCCAAACGCGTTGGCCGCGGCGGTAACGGCGTTCGTAATAATGGTTAAGCGGTAATTATTGCTTTTTCTTTTCCCAATTCCATTGTTTTTAACGCTTTTTTTGCCCGGCCCGCTTTTTATGCTTTCCCGGTAAAAGTGCTTAATAATAATAACGGTTTTGTTAGCGCTAGCAATAATAACGGCGGCAACGCGCGGGTTAACGCTAATTATATGGTTCGTTTTTTTTTATTTTTTTGCCGTTAAATCGTTTTTATTTTTTTATTTTAATTTAATTTTTTCGTTTAATAATATAAATTTATAACCCGCAAAGCGATAAACGTTTTAACGGAAATCCTTAAAAGCACTTTGCTTTATTATCGAATAACGTAAATGTTTTTTTCGTTTTTTTCCCGTTTGCGCTTTGGCTAATTATTTAATTTTGCGCGTAATATTTACGTAAATTGCATTGGTTATTTGCTTAATAATTTGGGTAAAAAATAAAACGGGAAAAAGCGGTTTGGCAAAATTGCGGTTTGTTATTTTAAAATTGGTTCGTTTTTTTTGTAATTCCGGGTAATTTTTTTATTTGTTAATTTGCTGGTTTTTCCAAATACAAACGCATTGTTTTATTGTTTTTATGCTAATCGAAATATTTGGTATAATACGGTAAATCGTTTTTTCCTTTTTTTTTCCGTTATTTAACCGGGTCGTTAACGTATTTTTTTTTAGCTTTACCCCGTTGCTATTAAAAAAGTTCGTATTGCGGCCGTACTTTTTGCTAAATATTACCAATCGCTTTCCAAAATTAAAAATATGCGCGATTTTGGATTAAATAATTGCCGCAAATATTTAATAAATTATTTTAATTTTATCGGCTTTTTATGCTTTATCGGTTCGTTAACGGTATAATGCAATGTTAAACGGTTTATAACGTATTGGTTGCTAAGGTTTACACGTTCCGGCGTGCTAATAAAAACGGGCTTAACAAATTTGGGGTGCTTACCGGTATTGGTTTTGCTTTTAACCGTTTCCGGATGCTTTCCCTTTTTGGCGCTATGGTTTTTATAAGTGCCGGTATTGCTGGTTTGGAGCTCGTACGGTCCCTTTCCGGCAATATGGTATTAATGCTTTAAACCTTTGTTTTTTACGCTTCGAAAGCTTTTAACGCTTTATTGCGTGCTAACGATGCTACGGAAATTGCTAACAATTTAAAGGTTAAAAAGTTCGCTTTTGCGCAAGCTTAGCAATTGGTAAATGCCGGTCCCTTTTTGGTAATAATATTGTTTTCGTTGTTTTTGCACTTTTTAATTTATGTAAGTAATTAAATATGGCGGTTGTAAAATAAAATAATAATAAAAATAATTTAGCGTTTTTTAACCGGGTGCTGGAAATAGCGCGGGAAAGAATCCGCATGCGCTAAAATATGTAAAGCAGCAATTTGTTCCCGAACTTATTGCTAAATATTGCTAGGTATGGTTGGGCGTATAATCGTAGCTTTTTTATATTGGGTTAATAATTAAAATAATTATATCCGGTTATTAATTTAGCGTTAGGTTATTTATTTGGGGCGGTTTGTTTTTTTGGTATTTGCGTTTTTAATCGGTCGTTTTTTTTTACCACTTTAAAATCGTTAAATTTGCTTGTTTTAATTGCCAAACGTGCTGTTAATAAAAAAGGGGGGGGCAAAAGGGGGCCGTTCTAATCCGTATCGATTCCGGTAATAATGCTTGTTTTTTATTGCTATCGTTCGAAATATGCTTTGCGGTAATTTATATTTTCTTAGCCCGAATTTATTTTCCATTTAATATAAAAAGGGCATTTAACAAATAAATAAAATGCTATTTCCCGTTGCCCGGTTTTATACGGGCAACGGGGCGTATGCACGTCGAAAACGTTTTTATTCCAAAAAAACGCTTTTAATTCCAGTTTTTCCGTTTTTAATTAAATAATTATCGCGCTTTGGGCTTTGGTAAATTTTTGGTATGCTTTTAGCATTAAACCGTCGAAATTAAATTTATTTGCGGGGGTTGCGGGCCGAAATGGGTTTGCTTTTGTTGCTATAGCGCAAATTTTTTTGCATTTAGCGTTTTATTTAATTTTAAACCATTTTTTTCTTTTTTTTTTTTTGCTTTTAATCCGTTAATTTTTATGCTTTAGCATTAACTTTCGTTCTGGTTGCTTTTTGGGTGGTTACCGGGGCGGGGCCGGGTTTAAATCCAAAAGGTTCCAACGGGTTCCATTTTTGCGCTTACCGGTTTTTGCTTGCTAGGTTAAATGGGTATGGTACTTTTATTTTTTTACAATGTTTTAATTATCGAAAATATTGTTGCACTTTATCGATACCGGTTCGGATTACGTTTTTTATTTTAAATTTTTCCCATTTTCTTTTTGCTTTTAATACCTTTTCGTTTAAGTACAAATTAATTGGAAAGGTAAAGCATTTAATTTTAAAATTGGCTAGCGAAATGGTTTTATAAGCCCCGGCAATGGTTTTTAAATACGCGCGCTATTTTTTTTAAAATTATTTAACGGCGCTTTTAAAGCGGCCCGTTGCCGGTATGGCTATATAAAAGGCTGTTGCGCCGTATGCCAAAACCGTACGGTACATTACGTTATAAAAAAGCTTTCTTTTTGCAAACGTATTGCTTTACGTTAACGAAATAAATTAAATAAATGCTAATTATTGCTTTTTTTGCTTACTTTTTGCTTTTTTTATATATTTTTTAAAATTAAAACGGGCGTTTAGCCAAACCCCAAAAAATTTAGCCGTTTGGTTAAAAATTACCGTTATATCGCCAAATTAAACTACGGGCAAATTTTCGTTTTTGCTAAAATGAATTAATTTGGTTTTGGTGCTATTAAATTTTATGCCGTATTTGGTTGCCCATACTTTGCATTTTAGCCAAATTGCTTCCAAAAAACGGGCCGTATCCTTTACGGTATTTTTTATTGCTAATAAGTTAATGTCGTTAGCAAAGCCGGTAACGAAAATCTTTGGAATGTTTTTAAAGTTTTTATATAATAATGCAATATATATAATAAAAAATATAAAAAATAAAAGGAAGCTTTAAAAAATTCCGGTTCGAATTGGAATTGGGTTCGAAATGTTGCCGTTAAATTGCAAAATGGCCGTTTTATTTGCTAACCACCCTTTTACCCATTTTACAATTGGTAAGGGGAAGCCGTATTTTTTTAACGTATTTAGCAATTAAAAGTAATTAACGGTATCGAATGCTCCGGATAAGTTAAATTATAACAATAACGCGATAACGCCGTGGTTTTATATTGCAATTACCGCTTTCATTACTTTTTAAATTACCAATTTCGTGCTTTTAACCCGTCGGTTGCCCATTTGGCCGTTAAAAAAAATGCTTTTTTTTTTCGCTTCGTTAGCAATTCGTTTCGTTATAATTAATTTAATAACCTTTAAAATTAATAATAATAAAGCAATAAGTTTCCATTCCCCGGTTTGTTTTTTTTTCGGTAATTTTATTTGGTTTGGGTAATATTACCGTAAAGGCTTTTTTAAAACGCTTCGGGAAATAATTTGTAGCGATTGTTGCGTTGGTAAATTTCGCGATAACGGTTGCGCCCGGCAATTTAGCGGCTTTAAATAGCCCGTTCGGGAAATGGTTTTAGCCCGTAACTTTTTACGGTTTGGTACGGCCCGTTGCTTCCATAATATTTTGCGGGGTAACAAAAACGGGCATTTGGAAAGGGTTTGGGAAAAAATGGTCCGGAAATTCGGTTTTGCTAATATTAAAAATGTTAATTAGCGGGTTTAAAAAAAATTTAAATAACAAAATTTCGGCTTTTTTTTGGTAATTGCAAAGCGTGTTCGGGTTTTTTCCGGTTTTAATTAAATTCGGTAACCAATCCGGGTTTTTTTTTTAAAAGCTTTTTAAACGGGCCCATTTTTTGAATTTTTAAAATGCGCCGTTTTTTTTGGTATTTTGTCCCGTTGCAAAAACAACGTTTTTTTAATAATTAAATATTGTTTGGCGTTTTTTTTTAATAAATGCTTTATTCGCGGTTTTGTGCGCTTTTTATGCTGCTTGCGTTTTGTTTTTAGTAAAAGCGCGTTGCAAACGGTTCGTTTCCTTACGGAAATCGTTAAATTTTTATATCCAATAAAAAGCGCGTTTGCTAAAAAGGCTTGGTTTTTATTGGGGGGCTAATTGGTTAACGAATTGGGTTAATTGTTGCATTAATTTATTGGTTTTTTTATTTATAATTTTAACGTTATGCATATCCCCGGTTATTATTAATTTGCTGGCCATTTCGGCTTTAGCTTTCGCCAATTTTTTTATTAATTTAACGTTTTTTCATTTCCAACCTTTAATTTGTCGAAATTAAAATTGTTGCGGTCTAAAAAAAAACGCGAAGTACTTGGGATAAATGGTTGGACCTTTTTATCGTATTGTTTTATTTTAAATATTCCATTTTAAATTGTTGCGTTATTTAAGCGTAATTAATTGTACTATTTTTTTCTTTTCGTTTTTTTTTTGTAACCTTTCCGTAAAGCGTTGCCAATCCAAATTGTTTGCGGCGTGCTAATTCCAAAAAGGTTTTGCTTTTTGCGTTGTATTTATTATATAAATTCCAAATTGGGTGGTAAAGGTTAAAATTGCTTGTAAGGATTGTATGCTTTTGGGTTAAGTAAATAACGATTATGGTAAAAGGCGTTGCTTAATTAAAGCTTGCTTTAGGATTTAAAAAATATATTAAATATATTTTTAATAGGCTTTCCGGCGTAATAATTATAATTAAAGCCCAATCGTAACCGTACCGGGCGGTTTATAATTTGGAAACGAAACGGTTGTGTACGTAAAGTGCTGCGTTAGAATTAAATTTTTGGTAATAAATAAGTTTGTAATTGCAACTTTACGGTTTTAAAAAGTTCCCGTGCTGGTTGCGCTCCGGCTTTTAAATGGTTAAAATGTTATATTATTTATTGTTATAAAAAGGAAAATTGCCTTTTTTTTTGCCTTTTTTTATATTTTAATATAATATGTTTAATTTTATACGTTGCTATTATCGTTAATTAATTAGTTAAAAGTAAACGTAATTCCGGTTGCAAAAAGGTTAAACGGTACCGGTATAAGGCCGAATTGGGTTGGTTAGGATGCAAACGGTTAAAGTAAAGGTAAATCGGGGGAAAAAAAAAGGGCTTTATGGTTTGGCGCATTAGCAAGGTTAAAATTGGTAACCGCGGTATTGCTAAATACCGTTGGGTCGTTAACGGCTTAGCATTCGTTTGTTCCCTTTATTCCCGTTATTTTATTAAAGCCGAAAAAGGCAAAGTTTGGGTTTATAAAGTACTGGTTTATCCTAAAAACGGATTTAAAAAAGCTTAACGTTTTTTTGTTGCGGGATTTTCGTAATTTGCTTATTTATCCTTTAGCTAAAATTTTTTTTTTTGCTTTCGTTATTTTTAATAAAAAACCATCCCGTTTGCATTTTATTAGCAATTTTAAATTAAACAAATCGTCTTTTTCCTGTAACGGCTGGGGGGGGGGCTGGGTAAAAAACGGATAAATGCAAAAAGCGGGAAAATGTGGACGGCAAAATGGCTTATTTAATCCGGTCGGGGTACGCGTTCGTTCCCCATTTCCAAGGCAAATTGTTTCGGCCGGTTTAAAAATGTATTTTTGGCCTTTTTAATTTTTTTTTTGCTACGGGGCATTTTTGTTAAAAGGCCGGGTGGTTGCTTTCGCAATTGCAGCATTTCGGTTCGCTTTTTTTTGCAATAAATTAATTCCCGTACAACGGGCACAAAAATTCCCCGGCTTTGCCGTTGCTATGCAATAGCCCGGCGCAATGCGGGCAACGGGCCGCTTCTTTGCAAAATTTTAATTTATATCCTTACCCGTAGCATTTGTAGCATTGGGCGGTTTTTGCTCCCGTTGCAAACGGTTTAACGTTAAGGATTTTGCTTTTAAATACAAAGCCGTTATTGTATGCGGTTTAAGCTACAACGGGGGATATAATCCTAACCAATACCGTAGCGTATTTTTCCGGTTGCCGGGCGTTCCATATATGGATGGAATTAATTTTAACCCCGATATTATGCGCTTTAAATTCGTGCAATAAAATATTGTTATTATTGGTTGCGTTTTATCGAATGCTTTTAATTATAACGTTATAAATTTGGGTTTGGTATATTGCTTTGCTGCTAAATACTTTAATAACTTACGCGGTATTTTTCGTATATTTAACGGCGGTTATATAAAATAAAATTATTACGTTACCGCTGGAAAATTTGCGCGTTACTTTTACGTTATTGCCAAATTTTTTAATTAATGTAATGGTAATTTTAACGGGTATGCAATTTGCGATTTTAAAAAAAACGTTTTTGGTTAAAATGGTAATTTTGCGTTCGGTACGCGCGAAAATATATTTCGGGGGGGGGGGGGGGGGGGGCTAGTATTAAAAAATGCGTAAAAGCGGATTGTAAGCGGGTAATTGCCGGCTTAACCGCTTTACGGCAAACCGGTTGCCAAAACCGAAGCGTAATTGGTGGTTTGCTTGCGGGCGTTGCGTATTTTAACGATAATTTCGTTTTTTATAATGCGAAAATGGTTGGGCATATAGTTGCGATAATTGCGAAACCGCGTTTCGAACGCGTTTGTTACGGCTTTAATTTATTCCTTTACAATTTTAAGCATTAATTCGGTACTGCCGGGGGGCACAAAAAGCTTTAATGTTTTAATTAATTGGTTTTTTAAATTTGCAATGCGGGTACGCGTTGGGAAAGGGTTGGGGGCGTTGGTTATGGTGGTATTGTTACTGGCTTCGGGGCGGTCGGTAACCGTTCCGCCGCCTTTGGGGCTGCTAGCGCTGCCAGCAACCGCGCCGTAAGCGCGCTCGCGCGCGGACATACGTCCGGTGGCGAGCCGGAAGCGAAAAGTTTAAATTTAATGTTAGATTTGCTATATTTAATGGCGTTTTCCCGTCGCGAGGTCGGGAAGGCAAAAGCGGGTTTTTTAAACATTTTTTTACTAAAAGCAAAAGAATATTGGCTATTTTTGCTAGCTTTTTTTTTCGTACAGCAATATACGTACTTTTCAAATTTAAAATTTAAGCCGAACCAATTTATTAACGGCGTATTCGGTATTAAATAATTAAAAAACGGCAAAAAAAATTTATTAAAATTTTGTATGCAAATTCGGGTTAAATTAATTTTACGAATTATTAATTTTAAGCAAATAATGCAATTTACCGCGCCGTAACGAACTTTAAAAAAGATTAGCGCAAAGCCGCAAAAGATATAAAAAAGGATATTTATAAACAACAAGCTTGCTACTGGTTTAACACCGTTACGGAAGCGCAACGCTAAAAAGGTGGTACGCAAGCGCAAAGTTTTCCCCTTTAAGCACAACTTAAAGGTTTTTCCCCACGCACACACCATGTAGCAGCACTAAGGTTTTCTTCCATAAACATAACAGCGTATAAATATACATATACATATATAATAACAAGCTTTGCAATAATTTAAATTTCCCGCTACCGTTAAAAAGGCGAAGCAAGCTTTTTAAAGCTATTTTTTTTTAAAAAAAAAGGTATAATAAGCGCGTAACGAGCGCGTAACCGTTAAATAAAATACTGGGGAAAAGCTAAAAATGCGTTAAAAACGTGCTATTACCAAAAGGATTATTAAAAAGGTTACGAGGTTGCAAAAGCTAAAAAAGGAAATTTTACAATTATTGCTATTAATATTGTTATTATTATTGCTAGTAATAATTTTGGCTGGATTAAAAAAAAGAATTAAGAAAAAAAAGAATCGGTAAAAGCTACAATATATTGGAACGGAAGTAAGCCGCAAAAAGAAAAACGACAGGTAAGCACAAAAATTGCACGGAACCGTTTGGATTAACGTGCATTTAATAACGCGACTTACACGCAACATCCGAACCGACCTTATAACCGGATTACGATATTACGCTTTAACTAATATATTTTTTTTACTAACCGTTGGAAGTGCGGGAATAAACCATACTACAGTCCTACAAAAGTAATTTGGATAAAAACGTAGTTTCTTACCAAAACTTACAGCGTTCGAAAGCAAATAAAACAGCTAAATAAAATAGTAAAAATAAACCAAAAAATAAATTTTAATAATAAACTATAGAGCCTTTAACATATATTTTTTAACCTTTTTAAAGTATCGTATGCTTTTGGTAAATACGTTAAAGTTGGAACGTTAAAATGCATCCGCTATAAATGGATTTACCACCCTTAAATAGCGCTGTAGCGAAAATTTTAATTTTTTTAATTTGGTATGCGCTATAATTTAAATTTCTAATTTTTAAATAATTTATATATATATATATTTATACTCTGTTTTGTTTATAAAAAAAACCTCAGTGCTATTGCTAAGTGTTGCGTGGGGAAAACCCTTGGGTTTGGCCTAAAGAGGAAAACCTTGCGCTTACGAACCGGTGCCGGGTCGGTGTTAAACCGCCGGCTTCGTTTATTGTAATTCGTTCGATTGCTAATAAATGCTCCGGCAAAAAAGCGTTTTCGTGCCCCCGGCCAAAAGGGTGTAATGGTAAAGTAAAAGTAAAGGCTAACATATGGAAAAATTATAAAAAAAACGTATAAAAAATGTAGCTTTAAAAAAGCGCCATTGCTTTAGGGTGGCTTCGGCGATCGCCGTTAATAAGCGAAAGTTTAGCCAGCCGGGTAATTATTGCGTGGGGCTAACGCTCCGCGCTTTCCGGCCCCGCGTCGTACTTTCGGGTACGGTTCGTATCCGGTATAGTATAGCTTATTTTTTATCGTTATTTTTTTTATGTAATTAAATATTGGTAATCGTTTTTATCGACGTTTTTGTGCGTATTTTTGTTAGCCCGGTGCCTGGTTGCTTCCGTTAAGGTGGCGGTGCTTTTTGTATTTGCTATTCGGGTGCTTGTAGCTTTGTTAGGGGTAGGTAATTATGTTTAAAAAGTAATCGTGCCTTTTTTCGCCGGCGTGGTAGCTCCGGGCGGGTCCGGAAAGGTTGTTCCTTCGCCGGTGCCTTCCTTTTGCTTTGCTTGCTTTTTTTCCTTTTTTCCTTTTTTTTTTCCTTTTCCTTTTTTTTTTTACCTTTTTTTCCAACTTTTTTCTTTTTTTGGTGCAATGCTTTTTTTTTTAACCGTTACCTTTTTATCGCATCGCTCCCGGTTAATTTTTATCGCTCCAATTTCCTCCAGCGCGCTTTTTATTTCCGGCGCCTAGCTGTACCTTCCTTTTTTTCGCTTCCGGCCATTCCCAATTTTACTTTTAATTTTAATCGGTCGCAATGCCAGCTAGCGGCTTTCCCTAAAAGAAAGGCACGGCCAAAGCCAGTCCTGCCAAGCGCGTTGGCCGCGGCGGTGGCGGCGCTCGTGGTGGTGGTCGGGCGGCAGCTGCTGCTCCTCCTTCTCCCGATCCCGTCGCTCCTGACGCTCCTCCTGCCCGGCCCGCTCCCATTTTTAAATAATTTAAAATTAACTTGTATACTAATAAGAATTCCAAATTTGTAAATGCATTTCGAGTTTTTATTTTAGCATTTTTTTTCTAATTTAATACGGCGTTTGGAATGTATTAACTTTTGTATGTAGCTTGGTGGTGTGTATTTAAACTACTTTGGTAAGGCTTTACCAATACATTACTTACAAAGAAAACGCGCAGTCGCAAAAACCTCGAAGGGAAAGAGTTTTTACTTAGCTTTACACCAAATAGCTATCGGTTAAAGGTACGGTTTTTACCTTTATTTAATTAACCCGATCTGTAAAGCTCTTTATAAGCTATATAGCTCGAAAAGGGTAAATAAATATATATATATATATATTTAATTTAAAAATTTACCGGGTTATTTTTAAAGCTTTATATTAAAAAATTAAAGCTTCGGGTATTTTTTTGCTATTAAAAAAACCAAGTTTTATTAATATTACTTAACGGTAAAATGCAAAAAGAGCAAAACGAATTAATAAAAGCAGTAATAACCGGTTTAAACGGGGGAAACCCGGCTTTATTACGTTTAGTAATTTAAAATATAAACGCAAAATTATTACCTTTAGTTAGCGTTTTCGGTTAACTATTTAATTACAAAAATACAATTAATAAACCGGAGTTTTTAATTAAATGTAAATATTATTGCAACAATAAATAAATTGTATTTACACGGCTGCAATAAATACCAAAGGCTTCGCCGTTGCAAAAATAATATTATCGAACTTAAAAAGCTTAATGCTAGCGCTTTCCGTACGTAATAACCTTCCGGTAATACTTAATAATTTAAGCAATAACGGGAATATACATTTTATTAATTTAATACAACTAGCTTTAAAATTAAACAAGAAAATGTATTTAATAATTGTACAAATTAACAAAATTTTTTTTTAGCCATTTTACGAAATAAGCTTGTAAAATAGCGGGTTAATGGAAAATTAAGGGTTTGTGCCCCTTTTTTTTAGGAAAGGGTTAAAAAGGCAAAACTAAAACAATAATACAATTAACCCTTACACCCTCTCTTACAATAACATGCCGTCTCTAACACACAACCGAGAATTTAAAATGAATAATACATTTTCGCACAGCCTTTCCTAACTTTGTGGAAGCTGGAATGCTCCTTCTCACCCCGCCCCGGCCTCCGAGCTGGAAAATGGCTTTGCTCACTTCCACTTTAACCTGGAGCAGGACCTTCGCCTCCAGGCTTCTACTTCTAACCGGCTCTAGGACTTGGGAAAAATCTAAGACCAAGCGCACTCGCCAGAAGCAGGATCTAGGTCAGACAGATGCGCTCCTTAGCGCCGAAGAAAATGTTGCCGTCGTTCATATTAACGCTCCAAAGATCGAGAACCGAAAGGTTCCGACGCATATCGCCATCCTTCAGGATAGCGTCTACCACTTGGGCATCTCTCCCATCTCCCGCCCCGTCGTGTCGACCTATGTCCCCACGGCCATCAACATGTTCACTATGCTGTACTACACGAGTGACCAGTTGGCAGAGAATCCCCATCTGCATGAACGTCTGCCAGAGTTCTTCTCCCCGGCCCTCAACCTATATTACTCGCACGCGGTGTACTTCCAGATCCTGCGCGCTCGTGCAGCCGCTGGTTCCGTTGTGCTCACTCGTACTGAGAAGCGAATCATAATTAACTACGAACGCATTGCACCCACTGAGTCCTGGCCCATCGCCGTTCCCCTGATCGGATTCGTGGCCTTGGGAGCTTATAGGCCTAGTGACCCCTACTACTCCTCCTGGGTCGTCCCGACCTTCCCTGACCTCTCCAAGTTTGGCGAAGGCAACGGCCTCAAGGACCTCCATCCTGTGACTAGAATGCTGCGCCTCCCGCTCGTCCCGGCCTATCAGAAGCTGGGTTACATGTACGCCAATAGTCTCACATGTTACCACGATGGCGCCCTCACCCCATCCAGCGACCAGCCTTTCGTCGGAATCCACCCCAATGCCGACGTCGACGCGGTCCATTGTCTCACTCTCAACACCTGTTGGAACCTGCCCTCAGAGGCTAGCCAAGATTATGCCAATATCAAGACCACGGTCAAGCAGAAGCGCCTTCGCCGCCAGGGAATCCCTGATGTACCAAATAACAATACCTTGAAAACGACTGAACGTTTCCTCGGCTTCGACTCCGGCACATCCTTTGACTGGATGAAGCATTGCTTATTATGGCAAGGGTTACGAACCAGCTTTGCCCTGATTCGACCAACCTCGCCGCCATCCCACCCACCACGACTCTGGGTTGATCTCACCGTTGATTTCTATGGCTTCTCGAAAACAGACAGAGGCATGGCCGATGCCAAACTGGGAGTCGCTACGGCGACCAATGCTGAGTTCAGCGATGGCTACTTCCCCAAAGGTGTGTCGAACGCCAACTCTTCCCGGTCTGGCCCGTTCTTTGCCGCCCCCTTCCTGAGTGAAGGAGCAGACGAAGCCGACTTGGCTCGCAGCTACCCAATTTCGCCTTCGAAGAACTTCGACCACACCGGTGGGCAGAACCGATATATTCCCTCGTTCTGCCTACCTCGCACGAGCGATT